CTAGATCCGAAACGTCAGCCTTCCTGCTCCTCTGATGCTGCTTGGCCTGCTGTGTTCATCCAGCTGTACACCTTGTTATCTCAGATTCTCCAGCATCGACAGTTCCTACTATCTCTCAGACACACTTGCTTATTTGCTATTGGATGCTGAATCTGTTTGTGAACAGCATGCTTATATTTTTAAATTATATTCTCTAGCACTTGAATATCAAATTAACTGAGTTTTTTTTACTTTTTTTGACTCTTTCACAGGAATTCCAGTTTCTTCTGTAGATTCTAAATGCCACTTGATAAGTTGTATCAATGTAATTCATTGTTTTTGGACTGTTTTATAAATAGGACAATAATTGAGAAAAGAAAATGACGTATGAAAATTTGTTATATTCATTTCCATAAAATATTAAAAACCATTTCTTCTACAAAACCAAGCAAATGGAAAAGGGACACGAGTGAGTAAATGCCAAGAAACACTAACCAAAAAGGTGATAAACCCCATTTTGATCTAGATTTTCCAAGCATTGAGTTTCTTTAAACAATTCTATGCAGATTCAGTTTCAAAGCTTTCTGCCATAAATGTAGCTTTTTACAAAGCAACTTCTGCTTTGTCTTTGTGCTTGGTCTTTGCTGCCAACTGGAACTCCATAAAGTGTGGTTGACTTATCCAGACTCCACCTGCATCTCCCAGTTCTTGCTGTCCCAACACAAACCTTCACCCAAATATATCTGCCATCATTCTTGACAACAAAAGCCAACTGATTAACTTTAAGTGACATTAATTGATGACCTTTTCTTCAATTCAAAGAATTTCATGCTTCTGATAGGTGTTCTGATCCCACTGTGTTCATATTGGAGATCCATACATCACAGCTTGTCACCAGTTAGCTCTCTTCCCAAAAGAAAAACAGTCAATTTTTGTTTATGCAGTAGATCATAGAATCCCTACAGTGTGGAAACAGGCCATTTGGCCCAACAAGTCCACACTGACGATCTGAAGAACATCCCATGTAGACTCACACACCCTCCCTCCCATAAACCTGTATTTCCCATAGCAAATCAACACATCCCTTGACACTATGGGCAATTTAGCATGGCCAATCCACCTAATCTGCACAGTGGGAGAAAACTGGAATACCTAGAGAAAGCCCACAGACACAAGGAGAATATACAATTTCCACACAGCTAGTTGCTCAAGACTGGAACTGAGCCAGGGCCCCTGGTGCTGTGAAGCAGTAATACTAACCACTGAGCCACCATGCTACCCCTACTCAGGAGTTGAGCTGAATTCAAAAACAATGAAACAGACGTGATTTAAGCAAAAGAGATTATGATGAAATGTGTTCGATTTATCATTATTAGACTCTTAATTCCAGATTTTTATTGGATTAAAATCCCATATATTTATATGTATAGGAAATGTTATTATAACAAGATTAGTAATCCAAAAACTCAGGTTCTTTTCTCATCATAGGAAATGGTGGAATGTTAAGTCCATAAAAATCTGGATTTAAGAGTTTAATAACAATTGCAGTAAAAACCCATTCACTTCAGTCACATTTTTTGT